TGCATAAGCGGGTGCAACATTATGACAATCTAGTCATAGGGGGCGCCAGGTATCTTCGAATCTTGCCCTAATACTGGGTGGAGGGACCACCTAAGAGCTGCGACTCCAGTGATCCAAAAAAATCTCCAGACTTTCAATTCCCTTGGCATAAGATGAACGAAAGGGCTCAAGACCCCTCATCACAGCTGGATTGCACACTCCCTCAGATGCGGCATTGACATGAATGCTACGTCTACTACGCTTTAAGGGCCAAAAGTTGTTTCCACGTTCGGGTTAGGGCAGCTGGTTCCCCACTGATCTGAACGACCCTGCTTCAAAACAGCAAGGCGTTCGGCACAAATGAGAATCACCTAGACCCTTAGCCCTGGTCCTCAGGGACCCTAAAACCAAAGCACTGCAATCCAAAACTAAAGCCTACGTCCTCTAGACCTTGGGTACTGCCCCTACCCAGAAAGAGTCTATCATAGGGGCAACATTGAGGGCCCTATAGGAGTAGAATACAGATATGAACCCACTGTAACTGAGTGGGTGCAGTATCCAATATGGATCCTGAGCCCTGAACCCTGAAGCAACAAGTGCTCCTAACTTACTATGCCTTCCCGTTCCCCCAACCATCCCTGCCCTCCGCCACGTTCTTAAATCTTCCACAATTTCTTTATTACACGGAAAGTGTCTACTTCTTGGGGGGTGATGCTCCCAGAGTTGCTGGCGCCATGGCTTGGACATAGGATGTAGATTTAGTGGGTTTAGGGTTTTAGGGCTTAAGGTTTAGGGGTTTAGGGTCTAGGGTTTAGGGTTTAGGTGTCGATGTTTGGGTTGGCTTCGTATGTAAAGTTGTTTCGGAGGCAATATTACCTTCTGCTAGAGCATGCACACACATCGCACCATCCAGCTGAAGCTTCTAAGAACTTGTGCGGGATAGAATACAAGTTCGTGCCATGTCGTGCCCGCATTTTGAGGTTCCTTGAGGGCTTTCTGAGAAGGGCGTTTTGCCTTCTAAGACGCTGGCTTGCAGAAGTTATACAGGTCCTTAAAAGAGCTCACAAGGTTCGAGTAAGCCGGTTGGTGAGACAAAATGGCCCTGATTGTTGTTGTGTGGGTTGCTTTTGAGATTCTCAAGCCTTTTGGAGGTGCACCTAACACTGATGGTTCATTTTGGGATGGAGAGGGGAACTTACATTGCGTGAAAAAGCTGCAGGCCCTTGACTCTACCACGCTGACAGTTTCTGCCAACACACAAAAATACAGCCATCTCAGCACCATAACTTGCGCAAGATGAGCCCTGAACCCTAAACACTACATCGTAGGGCCTGAAGCCCAGACCTTAAAACCTTAACCCCTAAACCCTCAGCTCCTGAACCCCTAAACATGCGTCACAGCCAGTCGGGAGGGAACATAAACCGCGCATCCCGAGCGATCCCAAACCCGCTAGCCGTCAGCAGTCAAACATAGCTGCTTGCAAGGAGGTTTCGCAGTCACGAAGCACGAAGCTTTGTCACCCTTGTCTGGACCCGCCTGGCTGTATTTTTGTTTCTACACTTGGAGGTTCATGGATACTTAGTATTTAGGGTACCCAAAAAGGCACTAGTAGGGTATATATAACCCCCATAGAACCCCAATATAGTCCCTATAATCTTGCAACGTGCGTGTAGCTGCACTAGTTTTTAGCCACCTTAGAGTCTTAGAGTGCATAGATCTAGTCGGATTCTCATTACCCGTGACCTTCCAAAGTAGGGCTCAGGGGCAAGGGTTGAGGGTCTACAAGGCTTAGGGCTTCGGGCTTAGGAGGAACAGAAAGCAAAAAACATGGAAACAACAGTCTAGTTTAGTGTTTAAGGTGATTACTCTTGGACTCTTGAAACAGAAAACGTGTCCTTAGTCACAGAGGCAATTTTTTCTTGGTTGAGATGATCGGAGATAAAAGGTAGCAAGTTCAAAGAGCCTCCACATACTGGGCTGACTCCACAAGTAGCCGTAACCTGTAGTCTCATTAGAAGCATTTTTTCGCCTTGCTAGGAAAACATGTATAACCCTGAGGAATTATTTGCAAGTGTTTTTCAGATTACAGGAACTGGGGCTGCTTCCTTGATTTTGTCCCCAAAACGGCTTACTTGGACGTTCATGGCACTAAGTACTTACGTGTAATTGGGGCTATAACTATAACGCTACTCCATATACACATAAATATTTACATACATGCCTATAGCAGAAGGGTTTTCTGGTTTGGGTCGATGGTCAGTCAAGGGCTTTGAGTGCTTGTAGCCTGAATGGCCCTCTTAGATCCTTCGCATCCTAGTTTGCCAAGTGATGGCAGCTGAGTAAAAATGCACGTGACATCGTTAGGGTTCCTTTCGCCCTGTTGGCTTGTAGAAATATTGTAGTTTCCAGACTACGGGGACCCCAATATACTATGGGGCCCCTCAAAATGGTACCCCTTATTTTGGGAAACCACCCCAAATTCTTAGTTTGGCCTGGGGAGCTCAGCAACTGGGTAGTGCCTACCTGAAGCCCTACGGCAAGGTACAGGATAACCAGGGTTCTGGCGTGACAGGTTCACCGGTTGGGGAGGGGGGCTCCACAGCAAGCCTCCAAAGTTGTGGGGCAAAATACAGGTTCTTGCGGAGAAAAGGTAGAAGACTTCCTGAGTCAAAAGAGCCTGAAAGAAGGATCCAAGTAGCAAAACAATAGGTTTTCGCCCCCCAAATACTTCATCTCCACTGTCTCCGCTGGTTTTGGGGGTACCAGTTGTTTCAATACTTGGGCACTTGAACCCTGGGGGTACTGTAGAAACCTTCACCCTAGACCCTGACCAAGCTGGAAGCCCAAAATGGGCCCTACAATCAGCAAGACTTCTGTCCTTAGATGGAGACGGGTTTAAGGTTTAGGGTGGGGCTTAGGGTTTAGTGTGACCACTTGAGTTTCCGTTTTGGTTTGGTGACTACCCTAAACCGTGAGGACGAGTCAGCTGGATCGCGAGGCGTACCTGGCCTTGCTGTTATCCCGATGGGCAAAGGACCTGCTTTCTCCGGGGCTCAGACCACTTGGAGCGTCAAGGGGGCTGAGTAGTAGGTTAATAAACCCTATAACCCATGTAGAAAACCTAGTTATCCTCATTCTTCAGCTATTTTACTAAGTCCCCCTGACCCTCAAAGTAGTTGAGTGGGTATTTTTCATGGAGTTTTCATGGAGTCCACAATATTGGGGCACTTTATCGTCCTTTAGTCTCCCCCGGGCTCAGAATAATCCAGCAGGCATTCTAAACAGGCATACCAAGTGTAGCCCACAATATGGGGTGACATTGGTCTCG